AGACATCTGGGTGACCATAACAATGGCTTGTGCAACTATGTAGCTGAATAATTGCAACTTCATTCAAGATACAGAGAGGAATAATTATTAAAACCCAAGAAACACAAGGCAAGGAAGGACTGAGAAACAAAAGACTGACTCATCAGCATGAATCTGATACTGTATCAGGGAAAGGCTGAGCCTGTGGAATTTGATGAACACGGTGCCTTAAGAGCTGGTGCAGATGTGATGGGCCAAATGGCTGTCTACTGCACTGTAAATTTCTATGATTCTATGAAAGTCCTACTTGAAGAGGTAAGAATGGAAGAAAACAGTAAAACATGCAGAAAAAGAAAATCAATAGTGACCAGAGTGTGAGAAGCTAGGAAAGAGACAGGAGCTACAAATAGAAGCTCAAATGTGTCACAGAGTAGCCATTACAGGAAAGGTGAGCAATAGCAGGACATTCTCTGAAAACAAACAGCTGGTGCCAGACCACATAATGTATAGTTTAGAGAGCTGGGCTTTGTGCCCATCTTGATAGCAAAACAGAAATAATAGCAGGAGCCAATAACCAGCTTATACGCAAAAATGGCAGGAACTTCCTGACAGGGAAACATTAAACCCAGCTCATAAACTATTTACTTCTTATACTGGATGAGAAACACAGGGACAGACAGATAAACGCTTACATTTATAGAAAAAGGAGCTGTTTGCGGTTGCAAACTGTACTGCACTCTTAGTATTCTTACAATACAACAAGATTTATATTTATGTAGAGGGAGGTTATCTAACTGTGCAGTTCACAGCTAAAGATGTTAGAGATCAAAGAGGTGAGTCTTAAGGTGGGCTTTGAAATTGGGATGGGGGTGGGTGGGGGGCTGAGTCAAGTGACTCTAGGATAGAGATCCAGAGAACTGGGGCATAATGGTTGAAAGCTCACCTACCAAATGGTAGGGCAGATAAGGCGGGGGAAATGATAACTTCTGGAGATGAGGGAGTATTTATGTGGATCTTTCCCTCAGGAGAATTCTGATGGGGAAGATTGTACATGATCAACAGAATAAGTGGGCTTGATGATCTGAATGACCTTTTCTTGTTCCATGGTGTCCTAATTTTATGACAAGAAATAAATGATTTTGAAAATGAGAAAACTAAACCTTTTCCGATTTCCGCAGGTTATAAATGAAATGCATGGTAAGTGGGATTGTGAAGGTTAATAAATTAAGAAAAATGTGTGTGCTGTGCAGCCCTGAAATCCTTAACATTCATGATTATCCATCATAAATAGGTTTCCAGATAATCCACTTCTTCCTTGGGCTCATCTCTTGATCCGTTCTACTCTCTGTCATCAGTCCCTACTTTTCTCATCTCTTTAACCTCTGCATGTGCTATATTGATGACCCTGATCTCAACCACACTTTGTACCTGCTTGAGTATTACACAACCCAAACCACATGCAACTGTTATGCCCGGCGAAAGGGTTAAGGCACACCACAAGTTTTTCAATAAATTGCATTGATTTTTTTAAAAAAAGTGAATCATTGCATTCAAATAAAGGTGAAATGTTGGGCAAGTTTCCTTACTCCACACACCCCTGTTTACCTAACTAGGAACCCGGTTGTTAGTTGATTGGCGGATCGCTTTTCCGGGTGTAATAATTTCTTCAAAAAAAATCAAAAATAATAAATTGGTCACTTCAATAATTTGGTCACTCAATCTACTACTGTTTGTGGGACAATGCTGTGCGCAATGGGCTGCCGCATTTCACCCACAAAATATACAGTTAATTAGCACTCTTACAATACAAAAAGATTTATATTTATGTAGAGGGACGTCTTGAAAACATTATCAGGTGCTATATCAAATGCAAGGATTATTATTAATTCTAAGAGCCTCTTTTTGTTTCAATGTGGTCAATCAATTGACCCACTGTATACAATATACTGTATGTCGTAGGGCTATCAAATTGCTTTACTGAGGTTGCTTTATTATTTTGCACAGCGCAGTACAAATGCGGATCTCAACTCTTCAACCTCCCTGGGCTGTCCCTCGGACTCACCGAACTTGTGCGCAACCTAGGCGTCCGGTTGAATCCCCTGCTGTCCTTCCTCTCCAACATCCGGTCCCTGACCAGGACCGCCTTCTTCCACTTCTGCCACATTGCTCACCTCCAACCATACTTTACCCCAAATGCAGCCGAAACCCTCATGCATGTGTTTGTCACCTCCCGCCTGCATTACTCCAACACACTCCTCACCGGTCTCCCCAGCTCCACCATTCACAAGATCCAGCTCATTCAAAACTCTGCCACCTGCATACTGACCCCGACCAAACTCCATACCCACATCTCACCAGCTCTGGCCAGGCTCCATTGGCTCCCCATCACCAAAGATCCTCACTCTCGTGCTCAAATCCATTCACTCGCTGGCAACTCCCTACCTCTCCAACCTCCTCACTCCCCAATTCACCACCCGGCACCTCCGCTCGACTGACACTGGCCTCCTGCTCGTTCCTCGCACCCTCCGCCCCAACAGCGCTTTCAGCCACCACACCCCCAAACTGTGGAACACTCTCCCTCAATCCCTCTGCCTTGCCCTCTCTCTCCCCTCTTTCAAGTCCGGCCTGAAGTCAAGCTCCACCACTGTTAAGCACTCTGAGACGCTACCCTGCGTGGAGGGCACTATGTAAGTGCAAGCTGTTGTTGCTGTAAATGAAGGGTGAATGTTGGGAATTCAATTGTAATTGCATGCAAATAGCTTGCTCCACATAAAGAATAATGTGTGAAAATGAGTTACCAGTGAAGTTGTAACGTATTATGGGCGTTTCACTGTGTTTCAATAGAAGTCTTCAAAATTCTGAAAGGTTCTGAGAGGATAAATAGCATATGATTAATCCTGCTGGTTGGTAAATTGCTGAAAAGGGGACATAAGGTTAGGATTGTCACTGGAAGAATTAAAAGGGAGGCTGGAAGAATTTATTTTCACACAGAGTGTTTATTAGAGCATGAAATGCTTTGCTACAAGTGACAATTGAAGCTAAGACCATGCCAACATTCAAAAGAGAATTGGATAAACATTTGACAAAGAACCATACAAAAAAGTATGGGGAAAGAGCAGGGAATTGAGATTAGCATAGATAATTCCAGTGGAGGAGCTAGCACCAGTATAGGCTCTGTGGGATGAATAATCTCCTTTGCTGTAATTTCTATGATTCTATGAAATGCCATAAAGAATCCATCATATGCTAACCTACTCTACAAATGTTGTTTAAGCAAATGAAAGTATAATAGGTGACATGTCAGGCATTGCCTAAAAATGAACACCTCAAAGCAAATAATAGGATTTGATAATATGGAGCAACATATTGAAGACAAAACTTAATGTATATATGAGGGAGAAGGGAATTGGGAATAAGAGAGGAGATAGTAGTTTTGTGCGGAGTTTAAAAATCATGTGGCATGATTGGGCCGAACGCTCTGCTTCTGTGCTGTATTTTTCTATGTAGTTTCCATGTGTTAATACACCTTGAGGACATGGATAGACCCTGATGTCAACTGCATCATATAAGGAAAGCAGAGTAGACAAACAGAAGCGTAACATTAAAATTGATTGGCCCAAACAGGAAAGCTGAGTTGCAGGCTGTTATTACTTCCATTTATTTAACCTCTGAAAATGGCAATGATAAAATAATAAAATGCATTTAAGAACTCATCAGTAGAATGCCACTGCACCTGCTTTGTATTTACCACCAGGCATACAGCAAAGGCGTGCAGAAAAGAGCTTATGATTCTGCTTGAGTAACACTTTATATCTTGTTAGCAGACTAATCTTAACAATGATGCCTGGAATGGAGGATAGCCAATCAAAGTGCTATTTTTGTCATGCTGATTTCATATGCAAGAGACTTAATATTTTTTAGTGATGAAACAGCATGAGGTGAATTATGTCACAGTCTCAGGCAAGCAAAATGGATTTTCTTATGTCATTTGCACAAGACTGTTCCACTTGTAATTGCATTGAAATATGTAAAAATTTTGGTTGTTAATAATCTTTGCATTTTATATAGGGAGGAAGTTATTTATGGAGGTATATCAGATGCTCAATAGGACAGTGAAGTAAACACCACTTTCAGACAGGCTAACAAAGCAGGACAATATCTCATAGGTTCACTTTGTGAAATATGTCTTTACAAAAAGGCTATCTAACAGCTAGAACAGGTTACCAAAGGATGGTTGAGGTCAGAGCCTAGACTCATTTAAGAAACAGCTGTAAACAGTAGTCTAGTTGCTGGGCTCAAAAGATGAAATCAAATCGCACAAGAGCCTTCTCTTGTGATTGTTTGTGAAATGCTGAAGGCTACACAAATAGCAAGCATTGTCTGTACATTGTATCAACTTCTTTTTCTGATGAATCAGAGTGTTGGGAATGAAGATGATTTCACTTTGTACCTGGGGAAATCAGTCCCTTCTGAAATAGGCAAAGCGGCTCATGCTGCATTGTAAACAAGAGCCCCTCATGATTCCTTCTCTCTCCAATATTTTTCATAGAGCACATTCACTCTCCTGTATTTTCAGTGCCAGGTTGCCCATAGTGCTAATTACATTTAAAGGCAGTTTTCTATCGCAAATTCATATCCACTGGGAAAGGAATTGAAACAGTCATTTATCATACGACCATCACCAGCCACAAAAGCATAAAAGGGAACAGACTTTTATCCCATCAGTCTAAACTGGATTAGAAGCCAGGTTCCAGAAGTGTAAAGACAGTGTTCTAATCCATGACTGCAAATAGGCTATTTATCAGTTCAATTAACTCTGCCATTGTTTCATTGAATCTTTCAGGAAGTGTCCATGGAGACCTGTGTATTTCAGGGTCAGAACGCCTTAAGACAACATGCAGAGCTTAACTCAAAACAGCCTTAATTTAAAGTAAAACAAGGCATTTATTAACTCCAAAAAATTCTCATTTAGGAATAGTCGCCTTTGCTGAGCCATCAAGATTCTAAGGTACAGAACTTACGTTGGTTTGGAAGCTTCAGCCTGGTCAGTTTGCAGTTTCTCTCCTCCTTCCACTTCCATTGTACAGTACACAATGCGATTTGGTGCTAAGGACTTTAAACCCTGCACTTCCATAATCACTATCTAAAACACAAAACCATTATTCAATACGCAAATCCAACTTTTCAAATTGTGTTTCACTTTTGTTCTGGTGACATTTTGTACACATTAGGGAGTGAGATCTCAATTGGTTCAAATGGAACATGCTTCCATTTGTGGGTCCAGTGTTAGCATTAGCATTGATAGTGTGCCTTATCCCCCAGCCTCAAAAGTACAGCACCAATGTGACAGTTCAATACCGTCTGTGATCCCTTTAAGACTGCAATAGTATTGAATGTGTTTCAGGTTGGGGATTCCTAGGAATCAATTTGCCTCCCATCCATGTGATTAGTGTTAAGCGGAAAATCAGAATTGCGGGTCCAAGCATTTCCATGTTTAACAGGAAATTGTGGTAAGAAATAACAATTGACTATTTGCATCATACCCTCTCTTAAGAGTATTCTTGCCATGCTGCATCTAAAATACCCAGATCTCTTTTCCAATGTTACCTATTGGTAGCTAAGTTAAATAAAGAAGGCTGAAGGAGCATCAAAAGGCTCAAAAAGATAAAATATTATAGGAACATAAGAAATGGGAGCAAGAGTAGGCCATTCGGCCCCTCGAGCCTGCCCCGCCATTTAATCATGGCTGATCTTCTAACCTAATTCCATTTACCCGCTCTATCCCCGCCCTATTTCATCTGAGGAGCAGAGGGGAAGAAACATCTTTATGTTAATTCAGGATATTATTTCTCGGAGGGCGATTAACAACTGGAACAGGTTGCTAGGAATGGTGGTTAAAGGCAGAGCATGTGGGGATTCTGGAAAGATGAGATAAAATGAGCTGAATGGTCTTTTTGATCCAAACCAATACTGTGATCTTGTGAATATCTAGGAATAGGCCATTTACCCATCCACTAGCCACTGTGAGACCTGGCATGGGTAGATCTAAGGAGCTAAGTAGACCTAAACTTAGAGGGGAAAAATATGCACATGTTCAGTCAAATTTTATTTCTTACCGTTTTGTTAATTTATTTAACTATCCTGTTAAATATTTTAAACTGAAGAAATGCCCATTCTGCTGAAAACGTGATTTTCTTTTAGGCACTTCTTAAAAACGGGAAATAAAATCATTAAAAAAAACATATCATTTTGACCTTGCTGATTAGAAGACAAATGTTTGCTCGTCTACTTACCTCAAGTGTGAAAGAGAGGACAACATCAGATTTAGAGAGTTGGTTTTCATTCTCTTCTCCCATGTCAATTATTGAGGTATTATGACCGCGCTTAAGCTTCTGGAGTTTGAATTCAGAGCCACCTTTGGACACAGGCATACTCTCTAGGTTTGCCATCAGTAGGTTCACGGATGATTTCAGCTCTTCGATAAACATGTTCTCCATCTCTTTTGATACGAACTTCAGAAACTTGCGCTCCTACAAAAATAGTGACAGCAACATTATGGACCCATCATCCTGTTCATTTCAGAAAACAGATGAAAGGGCGAATTACTCACCTTACATTAATGCTGCTCATTCTTTCTTCACTTACACTATGTTAGGGAATCAATTGACTTGGGAATCACAATGGCTCTTATTGTGAAGGAACTTTGATTAGTATCCAAGTAACTTTCCTTACCATGTCTCAAATGGGCAAACTTCATTTTCTTTCAACCAAAGGAAGGCAAAATAAAATTTATCGATGATACCACTTTCCCTAGACACATGGGCTTACCTTTACTTTCTAAAGCTCCATTTTAGTCAATCGACTTTTGGCAAGAACAAAGTTAACAGCGATCAAAAACATGAAAAAATAAATTGTCAAATATAAACATAATTTTTTTTAAAAAGTAAAGAAATCTGCTTGGAAGACTTCCATTCCTAGGACACTTTCAGTTGTGTGAATGAATTGTTATATATCAAACTTTTCCTTTATTTAAATTAACAAAATCCTTGCATTTGATATAGCGCTTTTCATGCCTTCGAGACGTCTCAAAGCACTTCACAGAATAGACTGTAAAGTGAATTGACTGTATATTTGTGGGCGAAACTCGGCAGCCAATTGGCACAGCAGTGTCCCACAAACAGTCATGGATTGAAGTGACCAATTTATTATTTTTTTCTTATAGGATTATTATCAGGCATGTGGAGTAAAGAAACTTGCACAAGATTTTGCCCTGCTGTGAATTGAACCCAGATTTCTTGCTTACGAGGCAAGTGCTCTAACCACTGAGCTACAGGACTCCACAAATTCTTTCTTTCCCGGAAACAAAAACCTAACCATTGGAGTTGGATTCTCAAGGTGATTTTATGTGATTTTGAACTGAGGTTGTTTGTTACTTGAAGCAAACTTGCAGGAGGAAAGTCTGGGAGCGAGAAGAGGATAACTTGTGATCTTACGTATTCTCCTTGGTTTTCAGAAATGTCACTTTTAATAATGAAGGTTTACTGATCTGCTGATGGCAACTGAACCCTTTTGCCTTACTGACAGGCTCTGACAGAATTTATACATAACAAAGTTATGTTTTAAAGGAAAGGAATAGGCAATGTGCATGGCCACTTGTTACTGGAGACCTTGCTGTAGCTGATCTAAAATTAGAAGTGAGGATTTGACACAAGTCTAAATCGCTGTGCTTATTTTTTAATTTTATATTGAACTGAAACAATAACAACAACATCAACAACTTGGATTTATATAGCGCCCTCCATGCCAGAACGCAAATGTGCTGCAACGAAAATCCAAAGCATAAGAAGCGATGCACTGCATTTGAGAAAAGTTTTTTTTCACTCACTAATAAGGCAGTCCTGAAACTGATGGCAGTAAAATAGCAGAATATTGAAGTGGTGTATATTGGTGGGGGGGGTGGGTGAGTAGGGATCATCACATGTTGCGAGTATCCTAAAGGCATTCACATCCCTGAGATTCCTTGAGTAGATTTACCACCTAACACAACACAAGAGGAAAATGAGGACGAAATCATACCCCTTGTAAATCTGTCTTGTTTATTATTTGCATTACATACATAAATTGATTACTCATAACTAGGGCAGGGATGTGGGACTAAATGAGTAGCTCGTACAGAGCTGGCACAGGCACAATGGGCAGAATGTCCCAAAATATCTATAATATTAAGAGGAGTATGGTTGGGGATCATTTTTATTGGTCTAAACAGTGCTAATAAAGTTACCCAAATCCATACTCAGACCTGGGGAAGCGACAACAGGTGACAAAGTATTAGATGAACTAAAAACTGCAACCAACGCCCACATACTGATTCTTTGGGAAGGTACAAATTTTAGTCAGATTCTTTAATGTGGGGCAAATTAAAATATTAAAATATATCTAAGGTAGAAAGAGGTAAAGGAAATGTTCTTTAGGAATACCTTAGGAATTTCACACTGCTAAGAACTTCTAGGATAGAGTGTCTGCTGAATTATTGAACATACTCATAATGATGTTTGGCACATTCCCAGCTCAGGCTCCCTTAGGAGAGCAACCAACAATATAACAGGTTCTAGATTGAAGGCATGTTTCTACCTGGCAGGCTTTTTACTGGCTGTAAACATTAATTCAACATTGGAACAAAGATTGGACACTCAATATGGTTGCTAAGGTAGCTGGAGATTACTTACAATGAACACTTATCCTTCAGGCTCAAAGATAGAAAGGTTAAATTTGATGACATTTTGTGTCCCTTCAAAGGCTCATATACCTTCCTTAAAATGTTGATTGAAATATCATTGAAGCTTATATGTCACTTTGATATGAATGTCAGTCACTAAATGATTCTGTACACCAACATGACTTTCATTATGTGCCCCACTAAACACCCCATAAAACACTTGTGACCTTTCTCCCTGTTAACAGTTTAACAGTATAACAGTTCAGCAAATTTTCCAATACATATTTTGCAGAGTTTATCTCATTTGCAGATTGAGAATGCGGAAAATTTCCTTAAGCGATTATAGCTAATGAGTTTTACATCTACCCTCATGGTACATTTTTGTGCAGAATCTGAATTTGAAATCCAAACTTATAATAAGAAATATTCCCATGAGGGTAACCCTTGCTGATAACATTAACTTTTTCCAATTATAACAATTTAATTATAACTCTTGTAAAAATAGTAATTTAGCATGGGAGCATAACACAGTGTCTTCATGCTATACATAATGTAAATATTTAACAGGTGTATTTTCTTTCCACAGACAAAGATTAATTTTCTCTAAAATGGGCTTACATTGCTTTGTGTAGCAGGACAAGCTGTGAAGAAGGCAAGAACACTTAACCTTTTACTGCTGACCCAGGTGCTTTTCAGTATTTGTGCACCAGCATGTAACTATTAACTCTGTGACAAGGCCAGTTCTCACGCCAGCTTATTACACAAACAAGCTATTCTCAAACTTGTATTCTGTTGTATCAACAGCGTTTGCGAATATCAGATTGTGAAATTTGCTGCCAGTGCAAATACTAAGTCACTCATCTAATAAAAGCCCCCCCTCAACCCCCTCAAACTTTACCAATTTGGGCTCTGGAACCTCAAATTTCACAATCTGATATTCTTAAACAATTAATGCAACAAATTTGGTTTGTGAATACTGCTGATCAATTTACAACATGAAATGGCTTTAGTTGTGAAGATATTAAGTTTGTACCAACTGATATTTATTGAATGAGATATGACATATTAGCTACAGTCAAAACCAGTTGATGAAAGGGGTACTATGTAGGTGCTTTGTAGACGCTATGTGCTGTGCCGCACCAGCCACTATTTCAAAATTAGCACGTGTCCACCCCTCTACAGTGAGATTACAAACAGTGGTAGAATATGTGGGATAATGTATCAAGCCCTGTGATCCTGCTATAAACTGTGAGACTGAAGCTTGTGCTATTTCAAGTTCTACCTCAAGGTACTTTGTGCACTTGACACACATTCTGGCATGTGATGCCCTAAATAATATATACAAGTTGAGTGCATGGGCACAGCTTTATTCCATTTTGTTTCTTAGCTGACTTTGAGAAGTATGTTGGATGCAAGTTTCTCTGGTTCAATCACGTGATTTAAACTGAATGGCTTTTGAATTTTACTTTAAGGCAAGTAGTGTAGCCTATACCACATGTTATAAATGAGGACCAGTAAAGACACAAGGATTGTGGAAACCCACTATTTTTACGAGGATTGTGGGAACTCCCAGTGCAGATCGACCAATTTGGGGATAACACAATGTCAATGTTCATGGAAGAAAATGTCACAAATGCTCACAGCTGAATCCTAAGCAAAAATCTGCCATATAGTCAGGCATGTTTTAGGAGTGCTATCCTGAACAATGCTAAAAGTGATCCCAGAAATCAACGACTACCTTTTTCAGAGATCATGAAAAAAATTAATTAAATTCTTCTTTGAATTCTAATGGAACTGGCATCTCTTGTAAGTCGACTGATTTTAAAAGGTATGTGTATGGGCCATTTATATTTAGTTTGGGACGCCTTCCCGACGTGAAAGGCGCTCTATAAATATAATTTTGTTATTGTTGGTTTGAAAGTGGAACATAGTCAGATAAAGAAAAGAGATGGATGCCAAACAAAAAGCTTACGTAATAATTGCTTTTTATATTTCATAGAATGCATTCTTTCCACTGGCTGTCTTGGGAACCATGATGTGCTGGCAGTTTGCTCACTGGACACTGTTCAAAGAAATAACTCTTTGACAATTCAGGGGGGGGGAAAAAAACCTCTACAAAGCGATATAACTCATTGCAGTGATGATTGTTCACTCCACATAATACCAATGGGCAATAATCACTTGTATTCATTTTCCACGAACAGATGTAGAGAATTGAAATTACAAACGGCCATTACATGTTCTCTTTAAAATTCAGAGATCAACACTTCAAGTTTTTCTGAAAATATTTCATAGAAATTCAACTGATGAAAGTTGCGATTTCACAGACCTGGGTTAAAGTGAATAGGTGCAACAAACTCTGGGGAAGGGAACGCAATAGAATCCTTTCAGTGTTTTGTATGGTTTTACTCACCCGCGCTATTTGATCTGCCATTTGGAGTCGCCCATCCAGCTCCCGCCTGATCTGAGCTGCCTGCTCATCTGGGTTATCAAGCTGTAAATGCAATAAAAAAATCATTTTAAACCTAGGTTTGAACCTCTATTTGAAACAGAAGCAGGTTTTTTTTTAATGGACACCAACAACAATAACTTGCATTTATATTTTATTATATTGATATTTTATTTATTTAACTTCACGTGGAGTAGTGTCTCAGAGCGCTTAGCAATGGAGGAGCTTGATACTCAATGTGGGGGTGGGGGTGGGGGTGGCTGCAGGAACAATCAAAGAGGAACATCTTCAACTGAAGACAGGCAAGGTGGAAGGATTTACTGAAGCACGTTGCCTGAAAGCACAGCCGCCGATGATGGAGCAGAGGGGACAAGGGACATGCAGAAGGCTGGAGCCATCTGAGTGAAGTGGGTGGGTAGAGGAGTGGGCAATAATGCTAGCTGGTTAATAATAATAATAATCCTTTGATTTCATATAGCACTTTTCACATCTTCAAAACATCTCAAAGCGCTTCACAGAATATACTGTAAAGTGAATTGACTGTATATTTGTGGGAGAAACGCGGAAGCCAATTGCACACAGCAGCATCCCACAAACAGTTGTGGATTGAAGTGACCAATTTATTATTTTTTTATTGAGGAATTGTGGAGTAAGGAAACTTACCCAAGGTTTCGTCCTGCCGGGAATCAAACCCAGGTTTCTCGCTTGCGAGGCGAGTGCTCTAACCACTGAGCTACAGGACTCCCCCACCCCACCCAAATTAAAGGTTGTGTACTTATAACAATACACCAAGATAGCATTCAGTCTTTTGCTGACAATGATTCCTGCCCTGACTAACTGAACTTTGCTTGACCAAATGCCAATTGTATTTGGGATAAAATACAGATGTTAAAATAAGAATTTTCCAAGGACCATAAACCATGTTCTCATGACTGCCTTTTTGAGAAACAGCAATAGATTTTCTTTGTTATAGTATCTGTTGCTACCCAAGCATTTATGATTCATAAAGCTTTTCATTTTCTGTGTGTTATAAAGGCTATTTTCCACATGGATGGACTAACTGTTTGCAGTCATTTCCTGGTGTACATCAATATGTAGGATAAGTCGATAAATTTGGCTTGAACCTCAGCATCTCAAATCTGTAGTTTCAAAACTCCAGAAAGGGTTCACTGAGTCACTGCCTGATAAAAGAAACGAGAAAATAGAATAATTTTTCTAAGAAATAAGGACTTTTTTCACTGATACTGAAAGCCTCTAAAGAAAAATACCACCATTTTCTATTCTTGAATAGAGCAATAATGAACTCAGCCTTCCATCATTGCTGAATCCTACAGCGGGTGCCTTAATTATACATCAGAGAATTTGCAAGAATTTTTCCATTCCCATTTTCCAAAATATTCGTATTCACATTTTCACTTTACTGCATCATGAAGAAACATTTATTCACCATAATGGTAGTTCAGGATACAGATAAACATTAATATTTCAATGCTTTTCCTTCACCAACGACTTTCAACAGGGAGGACATTTCTCTCAGTCTTAGAGGCTGCTTGTAACTTTCCATGTATCTCCTAGGGCAGTTGTTTTAGTTTACAAAGAGCAGCAGCAGATTTCTGTAAAACTATTTTTCCACCAGAGTCATTAATGCAATTATCCACTATCAGGATAGTGGATAATTGCTATCTTTTGCTAGAGAACCCAAGAAATTCAGAATAGATCAAAATAAATCTGCATTGCAAGCATGCAGTATCTAAGATACTGGAAGACTGAATTATTAGGCAATAACACATTCAAGTGCTTTTATAACAATCAATTTAAAATGGATCTATTGGCTTGAATCTTCAGTCTGTTAATGGATTCAAGTTTCTTAGGAGGGGTCACTTATTTAAGCCGGATAAACAACCACCATTAGAACTGAACAATATCACTCCTTGATGTGTGGTTGAACTCTTAAATAATTATGAAATGATAGTATCCTATTGGTGGAATCTTTCCTATGTTATTGATTCAACAACAACAAGATTACATTTGTATAGTGCCTTTCACGTCGGGAGGACGTCCCAAGGTGCTGGAATCTCTGCTGGCATGAGATAACGTGTTAGTGATCATTCAGTGATTTAAACAAAAATCAACAAAAAAGAATTTGTTGAAATTTCTTTTACTTCCATTTGCAGGAAATTGAAGCCATCATTTATGCTTTCAACTCTGCTACTCTCGTTTTCTGACCGTTACGTTGATACAATACAATAGGCATGAATGTTTGCTCTAAATTCAATGTGATAGACCTTTATCTGAAGCACAAGCTTAAAAGGTTAGAAAAGAAGGAAGATCAAAGATGGAATGACCTAAATCTGTAAGATATAATGTCTTCAAACATGAGCTCAAGGAAACTATATGTATGTTAGCCAACCCAACATCTAGCTTTACATACTATTTAGGAATTCATTAAATGTGCATCCACTAATTTGTCTTTGTTCCTTTACAGAAACACAAAGTTCCTGCACTGTCAGGTTCACAAATCCCTAATAAAATGTGTGTATTATTGAACAACAACAACATCTTGCATTTATATAGTGCCCTTCACTCGAGGTAGTGTCCGGAGTGCTTGAATACTGTAAATAGGGTAATCGCTATACATAGGGCTGCCTGCTGTGATTTCAGGAAGCACAAACTATTCCCGAGACAATGTCTAAGCATGTTTTACATCGGAGAGGCAAAATGATCAATGATGTTATTATGCCTGTGCATGAGAATTGAGCCAACAAGACATTTTTTAAAAAATTTTGCAAGTATATACCACAGAATTCAGGATTCAGTTTTAGAATTATTTAACTGTTGATTAACGTGTGAGGAAAAGCCTAAATTTATAGCAAAATAAACAGATTAGTTTGTCTTGCAGCCGACTCGCCAGAGGTTGAAGCACAGAATGTTACCACTCATGTCCACACAGCAAAAACTTGTCCAGGTTTTCAAAAAAAATAAGAGAACGGAAGGTATAGTTACCTTGTTTTCATGTGAAGACATACTCAAATCATCTTTCATGTTAGTTTGTATTAAACCAATTGTAACAACATAACATTGAATTCTTATTCTTTTCATGTTGTTTTGCAAAAATCTCTAAAAATGCTTTACACTGCATCAGAGCGTAAATCAGAGTTGTGTGTCAGCTTGGCTCAGTTGGTAGCACTCTCGCCTCTGAGTCATGAAGGTTGTGGGTTCAAGCCCACATCGGAACTTTGAGATAGCTCATAGTCTTGACTCTCGGTTGATACTTCAATCAGTGCTGGGGATGTGCTGCGTTGTTGGAGATGTTCTTTGGATGAGTTATTAAACTGAGGTCCCGTCTGTCTGTTTGGGCAAATATTAAAGATCCTATGCCACAATTTGAAAAATGAGAAGTTTCTCTGAGTCTTGTAAAGCGCTTTGAGACCTCTTGATGATGAAATAAGATGCTCTATCAAATGACAGGATTATTATTATAAAGCATCAATTTATGGCATGGTGATTTGTCTAGGGGCTGATTTGACAATTTGTTTTAAAAGCAGCTCTTTTCAATGAGTTATAATTAAGTTCTCTGGTCAGTGCGCTATGTAGTTTAGTACATGCCCTTTTCGTCCCTCTGCAACACCTACCACTGTTACTCTCCTCATTTTAAAATTTATTTACATCTTTAGGAATAATTTTGTGCCACCAGCTAACATATTCTACCTGTAAAATAGAAGTCAATGACTGATAGACCAGAGAACACACAAAAGAATGAGCCTGAGGAAATCAATGAGCAACATGAGCTATTTATCAGCAAACACAGGGTTTCTTGTCCGAGTTTGTGCTAAGAATGACATTATTTATTAGAATATAAGTAAAGTTGGCATGCAATTGCAATTATCAGAAGGATTATAAATGCATACTGACATTGACCCTGAAAAAAAATGGATTTATATGACTGCAGTATTCTCAACAGTTTATGCCCTCATAAAAAGACTGCAGCGTAATGTTACAGGATGTTATTTTCTTTTTGCCAACTCCTGAGTCATCTGAGGACACTGAGGCATGCTGGCTCATGGCCCTAATGGCTCCTGTGCCTTTGCCCGAGTGACCATTTTTCACACGTCCCCTCGGCAGTGAGGCCTGACTCATCCTTGTCGATAAATTTACTGGCCTTGGCACAATGAGCTGGCAATGGCATTTTCCCATTACGAGTGCCCAACACCAAGGTCCTTCAATTTACTGACAAGCAGAGCAGTGTGTGTAAATAAACGCATTTGCCACTAAGCTCGGTAAATTTCCCAAGAAGTGAAGAATCAGTCCTGAGTGTCAGATATAATTTACTTATTTTCAGAAATAATTTGGGAGAGTTCCACATGCGAGGCTTTTAAAGGTTGAGGATCAAAGAAATAATGGTGAATTAGCTGGATGGATTAAAGAGTGTTTTACCAACAGGATACCAGAAGGTGTTGATAAATGGAAAATCTATCTGGGGACAGTGACTGGTAGAGTTCAACTGGGGTGTTTCTGGATGTTCTGTTCCTACACTTTGAAATTACTTGGAGGTGCGTGCTTCAAATATTTTATAAATATTGTAAAATTATATGATAATACTAAGATTTGCAGCCAGTTGGGAAATATAAAGAAGATTAACATTCAGAGAGCTCTGGATCAATGTAGCAGATGGTCTGAAACAAACAAAATAGCAGATGGATTTTAATGTAGAAACTTGCAAGAGAATTCATATTGGAACAAGAATATGTGTACGTGATGAAGGACATTCATTAGCAATAGTGGGGAAAAAACAGGATTCATCTATGATTTGTGACCATTTACTGAATATATTTAGCGATTTTATTTAGGGAATTTGTTGGCCAGGACACTGGGAGAAACTCCCTTCTCTTTTTGAATTCATGGGATCTTTAATGTCCATCTGAACAGCATGACGGGACCTCGGTTTAACATCTTATCTGAAAGACTGGACCTCTGACAATGCAACATTCCCCCAGCAGTGCATTGGAGTGTCATCTTAGACTATCTTATTCTGAGTCCTGATATCG